TTTCGCACGGAACACAAGAGATGGCGCAACGAACGCCGCCAACGAACGAGCATATATACGGCGCCGAAAGCCAGCGTCTTTAGCAGACGATCTTTTCGACTCAAAAGCGGCGCGCGTTCCGCAGGCGGCGACAGTCGCAGAAACAAAAACAGGCGCGGTAACAACCAGGAACTGCAGTTTCTTGTCTGCTAAATACGCCGGCTCTCGGCGTCGTCTGCTCGTTCGTTGGCGGCAGTTGGCGTCGCGACCGCTTGCGCCATCTCATGTCTCATGCGGCAACGGCGCCGTGTTGTTTGCAGACAGGTGGCTTCGCTGCGTTTCCATAGGAGCTAAGCCTTTTTCTTTCTTTATTTTTGCTAAGGTAAGTTCGCTCTTTGCAAATTTTACAAAAAAAAAAAAAAAATGCACCATCTGTGGGCAACGCTGCACTAAGTCGTAGCGCGATAGGTTAAAAAACCGAATTTTCCGGTCGATCTAAAGAGCCTGCCGTCTCCCTGAATCACCCGGTATACTGCCGCCGCTTTTATCTCGTGTGGTTTTCTTTATTTTGGCTCATATTTACCCTCCCTGGCCGTAACTTTACCTGCCGTTCCTACAGTATAGACCTTTTCTTTAACGGCGCCGCCATCTTGAGAATTGCGGCGCCGACGACGCCGTCTAGCGGCTTAGAAAAAGAAGTACCGGCTAGTTCTGGCAGCACAGCTATCTGGGTAGGCAACGGTGTGGGTATGGGGGGAACTTGGCTAGACTCGGCTATGGTGGGCTGCAATAACTTGGTTGGAGCTTGTCCGGTTGAATCCAGCTGGCTACTCCCAGGCCATCACCTTGCCTCTTCGAGAGAACGAGGACGAAGACGGTGGGGTGTTTTGATTGAGTTTCCACAGCGAAGTATATATGAGCAGTTTAATGTAGTCTATGCAGGTAAGCTCTCGACATTTGATAGCTCCATCTTGAGTGGTGGCATGTAAACTTTTTCATACCTTTCACACACCATGGGGCTTGCAGTGATAACCTAATTGGACCACCTGCAACGGGAATTAAAATCGGTCCTCTTGTCGTAGACGAGGTGGTCGTGAGCTTAAACGTGACGTTGATTCTGATAAGAATCTCTCGCGATTCAAGCTCGCAATTGACTGATTTCATAAATAAGGATTCTTGGGGGAAATGCGAAGCTCGATAACATTGCAGCCACACTCGCGCTGCAGCTTCTTGTGCTCATGGCACACTTGCTGCTATTGTTCTTGTGCTTTTTTAAATTATTTTTCCATCAACCACGCAGTGGTAGCCAGACAACCGTAGATTTTCGGAAATTGCAGCACGGTAAAAAGGAGCACTCGGAACTAACTCATGCACGGCGTCCGTTTTTAAGCCTTTTCGCCCATACCCTTGGCGGTTGCATACCCTGTGTCAGCGGGTAATCCAAAAATGCACCAGGTCGAGGGTACGTCAGTTACTGGCTGGTTCGAGGTTATGCGAAAAAGGTCTATAAAGGGGCGGTCAGTTGGACTCCAGTTGAAAGTCCCTGCAGTCAGTGTCTACGGGCGAAATTAGGTTTTTGTGCTTGAAGCGATACAGATTTCTCCGCCATTAGGCTGGGACGCTAGGTACTTCCTTGTCCCCGTGGAGCTGGTCACGTGACAGAAAAATCCCTCCTGGCCGCAGCCGCGGCCGCAAGATGAGCAAACCGGCCCTGATGTTCGACTGCTTGCTACTGCGGCTTTCTCAACGGTAATATCGCGATGCAATCACGAGGCACGCTTTAATCCTATTAGCGGCGAGATGTTTTAGTGGCGCCTTCCTACGGTTCCCTCTCGTGACGTCATTACCTTGCAAACAACAAGTTCGATGGTGTTTGTAAATAGCATGGTGGAAGCTTGAAATCCTTGCGCTCTCAAAGGAACACTGCCAACACCATCGAAATTAAAGTTCTTTCATTCCTCTTATTTCCGTCGATGATAAATCCTTTTCTGACGTCATAGTCAGCGTTTGACCAATCGTGAAAGGCCGACCACAGCGACGCTTTCGGTCGCGCACGTCGCCAATACGAAACGAGCGAAACGAGCTTTCTTTTGTCTGTCTGTGTTTTTAGGGGCGAAGCTCCTTAGAGTCTAGCCTTGTCCGTCCGGCGTCCGTGCTCACATCGATCTTGCTGGTGCTCGTGCTCGTAATCGTGCTCGTGAGCTCACGTGTTCACGTGCTCGTGTAGAGCAAAAAGAAAAAATGTTTGCGCAGGCGACAGGCTGTGCGGGGAGACCCCAATGTAGGGCACCCTACCCCAATGGATTTCTAGTCCATCGCCTTAACCACTCGACCACGAAGGCGGGGCGAGAAGGGGGGGCTCTGAGGTGTGGTAGTAACTCAAGGGCTGGGGTTTCTGTCATGGATGAAACGTTGCATGTAGCCGCTCAACGTCTATAAAGGAGAGGGCGCTGCGGTCAAATGCGTATATAATCGTGTTAAACTTTGCCTGCATTGGCTCAACATTTATAGACGAGAGGGCGCTGCGGTCAAATGCTAAAAAAATCAGTATCATGAGCACCCCCAGAGCTTCGCCCCAATCAACATCATTCACCACGTGGAGATGCGGTCATTTTTTATTTTAAGTAGCAGTTACTAGCGGCCATAGTGGAGTCCGTTCCTGCTCAGCGCGAGCTTGAGATTAGCTTCCACAATGCTTCTGCAACGTGCACCGCACACCACTAAGATTTTTAATTCTTCCGAGAAGATAAGGTGCGGCTCGTTCTGAGCCTGCGCGATTGATCGCGGCGAACTCGCTTGTCGGCTGGCAACTTTAGGAATATGTATTAATATTTCCTACAGACGTTTGCTACGTACGAAGCAAAGCAGTAAAATAGCCGTAGCATCTTGGCTGACTGATCAGAACTGCTCTCGCGATTACGTTTCGCGGTACCGTGGTACGAAGTTTGCGTCACACGATGGCCATGCACCAGGGTTGCCATCATTTTTGAGCCGGCAGTTTCGGTTTCGCCGTACACCGCCGAAACAAACTTTTGAGATGTCTACATAACTACGCGAGGCATAGAAAAGGAATACACCTCGTAATTCACGGACATTTCCCGCACTAAAAAAAGTCGTTACCCTAAAACCGAGAAAAATGTACCGGAGTTGCCCTTTGGCGGAATGTTGGCGCTAATTCCGGACATTTTGGCGAAATGTAGTAGGATATTGGGGTGTAAGCGTTTTAGCGCAGTTTGGCAAGAAGGATGCAACCTCTCCATCTGGCTGATGCTGCTACAGTCCAGTGACTCGGCTTTCGGGGCCAGGGTGGTAAGTCGAAAGAAAAACGTGTAGTTGGGCTAGTTGCACGGTGAACGTCACGAAGCATGGTGTAAGGCGCAAAAAACAACGGACACGAGAAATTCATTTCGTTTGACAACCAAGTTTTTTTAGAAAAAAAAAAGAAGAAAAAAATATAAGGGGCATCTGCAATGCGTCGCGCGTAACCCCCATACTGATTTTTTTTTAATTTTATTTGTTTCCAACAATAGACTGGGCGCTTGAAAAGAATCTTAGAGATTTTAACGTTTTTAAAGATTTTAGATACGTAGATGATTTTTTTTTTATTGTTTTTTAATGAATGGATTGTCTTTGACGTACCTCGAGGACGTGAGTTCAGTGTTGGAGGAATTTAGACAACATGGGAAGGGATTAACCTTCAGCCATGAACTGCGTAAGCAGAGTAGTCTATAGTTTTGAGTTTTGAGTTTTAAGGTCCTCGGTTCATGGCCCCAAAAGGAATTCCAGCCTTTTGATTCTGCGCATTCTAAGGTAATTAAAAGAGGAATCGCAACGCTATGTTTAAAGTCAGCCCTCGGAAAGTCGTGCGCACACCAGATGCAGACAAGCTTTAAGAACCAAGTGACCAGACAATTGTCAGCGGGCTACCCTGAAACAGTTGTGACGAATGTGGTAGAAGGCACCCTTCAACATGTAAAAGGACATACCGCTACGGGAAAGACGCAAACGACACTGAGCAAAATAAGGCCCGAGGTGGACCGTATGTGTACAAAATGTCGCCCAACCTCAAGAAGGAGGCGAATCGCTTTGGAGTACCGCTCGTTTTTCCAGCTCCGAGCAAACTCGGCCAACTCTGCTCTCACATTACCGGTGGCAGAGCTATATAAGGCCAGGCTGCGGCACAAAGCGTGTCAGGCCGTCTGTTCAATGAGTCACGGGGATGGCATACGAAATCCCCGTGACGCGTGGAAAGTGCTACGTATACGACAAACGGGAAGATGTGCAAATGACCGAATTTACGCGCACACTTTAAAGACGTATGATGGCTGCCATCTGCCCGAGCACTGCAGCCAGCCGCGTCTTTCTGAGACAACGACTCTGGGCAAAAGCAAGAGCCAGAAAGCGCGCGAGGTGATGAGCGCACGTTATCAGAAAGAGGGACACATAATGCGTGAGTGAGACATCTATTGCACGGAAATAATCCCTGGAGAAGGGGAACAAGACGGACAAAGGACAAACACCAGTCTCCAAACACAGCCGGGTGACTGGTGCGCGACCGGGAAAATCTACCTGGTCCGGGTACCGTATTCGCGGTGAGGAGCTCGCTAGGGGCGCTTCTGTTTTCCTCACTATGGGTAGCGCACGTGCTACACATGCGGTCATGTGTTAATTTTCATAGTGCATAGAAGCTTAGCATAGCAGGTGCTTGCACCAGCAGAGGAAGTTGAAGTATCCTCACTCTGGGGTGTCGAAAAATTCCACCAGGCGGCGATACCCAAACGCCGCGAATAACGCTGCGATAAGATTTTTTAAGAAGTTTAATGCTTCGATAAGACTTTTTAAGCAGTTTTCGCGAGTGAGGTAAATCGCGTATCCAAGTGCATGCGTGGACGAGATGAGGGGGACGAGATGAGGGTCACGATATACGTATTTCTTTGTTTCCCAATGTAGTTGTGAGTGGCGCCTGACAGCACGCTTGGGAACAAACCAGTCGAAAGTCCTTGAGCGGGAAGGGGGCTTACGGTCCAGAGGATCTGTCGGTACCAGACGAGCATCCTGGTGAGGGTGGTGGTGGTGCGCGCCACATGGAGGTTCTCCTCGGTGGCCTTGCGCCTCTTGGGCGAGAAGAGGTTGGGCGCCAGCACCATGGCCACGTTGTGCAGCGACATCCGGTTCCGCGGGGCCATCTCCGCCACGTCGGCCAGGAAGTGCACCAGCGCCTGGCAGGGACCGGGCTCACTATAGGCATGGTCCCGATAGATAACGACAGCACGCCACGCCTTTGCGCATGCATGTCGGGTACCGTTATCGAAGCTATCATAAGCATATACTCAGACCTCCTCTGTTTAGCCAGAGTAATGGACCTTTTCCAAATACCGACGGCACCAGGCGGTGGCTGCACGAACTAAAAATCGAGGAAGTGACCTACCTGCGCTACCATCGATAATGGGAGCTACGTTACCAGTTGCTTCGCTCTCTGAGCAGCATCGCGTGCCCAACGCAACGAGGTAGGCCTAGCTCGACTTTAAAGAAGGAAATCCGTAGCGTCCACCCAAACGTCGTGTTTTTCTTTCCGTCCACTTTCTTTTTTTGTGTAACACAGTTATATATATGCTGCAATTACGTGTTCTACTCGTCGATTTACAGCCTCATTCCGAATTTCCTCGATTTTTTCGTGCCGACTTCCACCGCTTGGCATCGGGCGCTCGCGCGTGCGCAGAACGCTTCTCGGAAAAGGTCCATTGGATGCCCTGACTCAACAACGGCACGTGGAGCGCGTGAGAAAAGCGCGGCGAGAGAGAGCGGCGCCTACCAACAGGGTGTCCCGGTTCGGCTCTGGCAGGACCAGGACGAGCAGGTTGAGCGCCTTGAGTTGCAGCAGCAGGGTGGGCACACCTGCGGGCGCCGGAAGCGTCTAGGCTGCGCGAGCCTCCATGCCTCGTGGAGAGGCGAGCGTCGCCACTTACGTGCCACTTGCACGAAGGCGTCGGCGTATTTGTTGGTGAGCAGCGGCTCGGGCAAGTGGCGCAGGATCTGTTTGAGGAGGCCGGCCACTTCGTGGACCCCGTACCGGTCCAGAACCGACGCCAGGAGCTCCGGGCTCTTGCTGTAGCAGGCCTCCAGCTCCGCCCTCAGCGCCTGCGCAGTACGACCGCGGCTCTCCATCACTCGGGTCGCGCTCGAGAGAAACACGCCGATGGCCCGATCGCCATTCGGCCGCCATTCGGCCGCCATTCGGCCGCCATTCGGCCGATAAGAGAACGAAAGCGTCCTCATCGTACGCCTTTCTTGAGCTCGCAACGATAGCGAGGCACGCGTCTGCCACTGGACTCGGTAATTTAGACTCCTTCCTAACGCACATCCCCTGCACCAATTTGTACGCGCTCCTCCTGCCAGAGCCCTCGCAGAAATTTGTCCCCCCGATTGACAATTCTGGATGAACCCCATGACGCCCTCTCCTCGAGCGTGTTTGGGTTGACGATCCTTTACCCCGACCTAGAGTTTTTGACTATTCGTCTTCGGTTCACGTCTTCATTACCCCAAGAGGGCATTCTCCCCAGCACCAGCATTCGTGAAGGCATGGTCAACGCCCGCTACCTCGGACACTCAGCAATGGGACCCCTGAACTCTTCACCTGTCGCCGCCACGCTTTACTCAGGCGCCAGATTACAACGATGGCGGCTCTAATCTGGCACGACAGGTGAAGAGCTCAGGGGTCCCGAGGCTCTTCCCGCAGAGCAATCGCTCCTCTCCAGAGTTCATTCTGCTGGAGCGGAAAGAACCCCGAATGTCTCACCTCTCACCGATTTTAGGTGGTATTGGCTCAGACCACCGGGAGAGACTCGAGTCAGTGTTGGCCCATTTGCGTTCTGTCCCCTAAGAAAGACATATTGCACGCAAACGCAGGAAGCTCAGCTCAGCTACAACACCGTTGCTATGCCGCTCCCGATGAAGGCCGTAGAGAAGCGGCAGTCATCCAGAGACACTGCCTTTATCAAAGCTCGCTCCTATTCTTAATGATTCGATTTCCATCGGAGTTTTCGAATGGGAATAAAAGATAACTTCCAGGGATTGACTTTTCCGAGTTTTTACTTTGAAGCATCTCGGACAAAAAAACAAAACAAAGATGCTACCGAAATAAAGCCTCGGATGCCGCGTATTGCGGTCTGTCGGGCGGGGACGTTCACAGAACATCCCCTGTCCTCCCCGTCACAGAACGCAAGTGGATGATTCAAACTATAGTCGGATGCAACCTAAGAACAATCTTTTAGCTCCACCCACAAGCGCATTGCGCCCATCTGAAGTGCCTCCGCCGTCGAGGAAGTAGTTCGCTAGCAACGTTGCTTTTTCTTCCTCCAGGAAACGTGTTTTAAAATACTACAATATTTATTTAATTCATCCAGGACATTTAAATAGGTTAGAATATGTTTTTGTCAACGAAATAGCTGTTTAGTAAAGAAAGAAAGTCATGTCCAATGTACCGTCTTCCAAATTCATTTTCTGTCCGAGATACTGTCTAACATACCGTCTAACATACCTCTCAGCAGTGCTAAGCCTCGCGCCCGCTTCGAAATTTTCGTTGGCGATAGCGTCGCTGGATTCTCTCGTTGTCCCGCAAAAAACGCTGCAAATGCAAGACCATTAAGATTTCATGGCGTAACCTCGGGCACGAAAAACACGGTGCAAAAAAGCAGAATAATTGTCACGAGAAATTAGCGTCGCGTTGCTAAGGCCAGCAGCCATGTTGAGCTTCTTTTTTCCAAAAGGATCGTGATTGGTCCACGGAATCGTGACGTCATGAAAACGACTGGCTGGCGTTTCTCGGCGTAGGATTACATTTCCTCTAAGAGGCATTTCCGGTTTTTTCTTAGCTTGCAACCGACTATAGGGTGCCTCAATGTCCTTCTGTTGAGGGTGATGCCACCCTTTGTAGTACCACATGCCGACAGCACGCGCTCATGGGAAAAATACAGAGAAATCGACGAAAACAAAATGTCGCCATAGCACAGTCAGCGCCACAAGCGCGTGCAGGGACACGCTCTTTCACGCGCTTCTGAACAAAAAATAAAAATAAACGTGTGTGACAAAATGGCGAGATGTCACCACCCTAAGCACAGCGCACATGAAGGCACCCTAATTCAAACGAGCTGCATTCAATCGTGCATTCGTATTGTTAGAAGAGAGAGAATGACCTAGGCCTAAAAATGCCTGCCCAATGGTTTCTTTGTCGTCGTCGCGCTTACTTCACAGATTTGCTACTAGGGGCGCCAAAGCCCCATACAGAAATGCAGACGACGCTTGTCCGCTGCCTGCTGCTACAGTTCACTGTAGCTAGCGTAAGCTACGTTATCCGTTAAGCTACGTGATAACGTAAGTTTTCTATGTTAAGTTACGCGGTAACGTGACCTTATGTGATCAAATAGGTCACTTGATCACGTAATTTGTTTGTGACGCGAGTAACTTTTTTCGCTCGTCGTTCGACCCGCAGATAGAGCGCTTAGCAATTGCCGGCATAGCTCAATAGCACGAAGCCGTCTGCTGCTCGTGGCACGCGCACCGCGACGCCACACGTACAGGCGCGGTCATTTCATTCCATTTATTGATCATGGGCACATCAGCACCTTGTACTTAGCCCCAACTCTTTCTGCTGCATTCTAAGTCGCATGATACCTTACTGGTGTGTGCCAATGTGCAACTCGGACTCGCGAGTTGCACTTCCTAGTGGTCATTAAACAGGCTTCTATGGCTCCTGGTAATTCCCTCCTCAGGCACCAGGACAGGGGAGGACTATGCTATCCATCAGTGAAACTAGTGAGGGTATTGCATGCGCTGAAGAACTTTGTGGAGATTTGACAAAAAAAAAAAACAAAAAAAAAACAACAACGAAATATGCTGAAAATGAAAAAGCCTTAGCATGCAGCTGGTGATGCTGCGGTGAATACTCTTAAGGCCGGTTCAGACACTTGCGTTTGAGTGCGTTTGACTGCGTTGTGTCGAGAACCGAAAGCGAGTCACCGCCACATTTGTGCTTCGTATGAAGCGTGGAATCCAATTCAAGGAATCATCTTGGCACGCGATATAAGCAGCAGGGATGTCCTGGGGTGCTATTCTGGTCGCAAACGGGTACCTTTCGAGTTGTGACGTATCGAGAAAGAAGGGGCGGAGCCTCAAACTAGAATGATTCTTGTTTGAGGCTCCGCCCCAACGTTCGGGTTCACGCACGCGGTCAGCTAGAATCTGACGATGCACTACGTCGCGGTGACGTGTCCACCCAGTTGGGGCGAAGAAATCCCTGCATTTCCCCCTGTTCTTTTTGATATCTTCTTCCTTTCCTCCGGGACTTAGAACGAGCGAATAACGGAGAAAAGGCTACCTTCCGGTAAATGGAAGGAAACAGAGAAAAAAAAAATATTATCCTTTCATAAAATACGAAAGATTATTACAATAATTATGACGCAAAGTAAATTTAGCTAAGATATCTCAGCTTTTTTTTCTCGAAGTCTTTCGCTACGGTCTTTGAAAACAAACATGGCGAAAACCGCGGTAACGACCTTGTGGTGTTTGTGTCTCGTTTGCGTCGTTGCTTTCCCTGCTTCTGCACGATACGGATGGCATTAAGAGAAAAAAATATTACGTGAAGGTGCGCTGCGACACCGATCATCCTTTGTGAAGCCGCCGTGAACATAAGTTGCAAATGAAATTTCCTGTTTGCCAGTGAAGGAGACTTCAAATGGATACAGAGCTGACGACGACTCTGTGGTAGTATATGACAAGTCATGAGATCGACGCAGAGTGCAACGGTTGTGAGCATTGTGTGGATGATGCAGGAAAGTTCCTTCGGGCAGTTTTAATAATGCTTTGCTCCTTTGCTCACTGCAGTGATTATGCCGGTATAGTCTCCATAAGCCATGCTCTTCTCTTTCGGCGCTGAAGAAATGCACGTGACGGCATATTCTCGGGCAGACTTTTTTACTTATTTTTATTTACAGAATAGCTCGTGCAAAAAAAAAAACGGCTTTTACGTTTTTACACGTCCCTACATAGGTACCTCGCTTTCCCATTGGCTTCATTGCGCGTGACGATTCAACGCCATTTGCCATGGAAACGTTCGTGAAACTAGAAAGCCTCTGTTTGCCGCTAACAGTCATTTTTCGAGTTCGGGTTGTGACGACAAAATGACGTAAGAACAAGAATGCACGGGACTATTTGCATTGTTTTAACTCGACAACCGTACCCTTGGCGAGTTAAACTCGAAAGAACATGGCCGCGATGCTCGTCGGATCGACCGCGGCTGGGGTTTGACATGCGATCGGTCACTTGATCAACGCGCACACGAATACTTTAGTGCTGTTGGATGAGCCCATTCGGCGGCAGGACCGGGTCGAAGAGCACAGTGAGCTGGCGTTTGACGTCTCCGATGTAACGCTTGGCGAGATGCAAGACTTGGCTTCTACAGGGTGTCACAAAAGAAAATTTACACGGTCTTTTTTACCGCAAAAATAAACTAGGCATCGCCGAACGCTCATTCTCCGCCCAAAGGTAGAGCTAGGGGTCACTACCAGATGCCCAAGTTTCAGCCCGATCCGATAACTTAATCAAAAGTTATAACTGATTTTCTGAAAATTTCAATGGGAAAATGGTGGCCGGCGGAGTTTTCGAACACATGGGGCTCTATGGCACCAGAAACCGAAAACGGGCGAAAATGGGCTCCATTTTCCCATTGAAAATTTCAGAAAATCACTTATAACTTTTGATTAAGTTATCGGATCGGGCTGAAACTTTGGCATCTGGTTGTGACCTCTAGCTCTACGTTTGGGCGGAGAATGAGCGTTCGGCGATGCCTAGTTTATTTTTGCGGTAAAAAAGACCGTGTAAATTTTTATTTGTGACACCCTGTATTTGTGCCGGTGTTATGAAGCTTGAAAGTGGTGGTGTTGTTGTGGCTCGTACGGTAGCGTTGCTGAGATTATGAAGACGGTAATAGACCTTTATTCAGTGTTGCCGTGCATTAAGATTCAAAACCCCACCTTGCAAAACCCCACCTTGACACAAAAGGATCCACGTTTCCGGGAGCACAGAGGCAGCAGCCAACGGTCTGAGAAAGAATTTGGCCGCCGCCACGACCGCCAGCGATCGCC